TAGTATCACTAGCTATTTCGTCTAACTTTTCATAGTACGGATATTTTTCGCCTTGTTAAGTCTTACGGAGAGGTTTTAGGCCATATCAGCCATTGCTGGCCCCATTGAGACTGGCAAGACTTCCCGTGTGGATGTTTTGCTTTCAGCTTGTCTAATGTCTCAGTGTTATGTCTTATGCGAAGGTAATTTGGAGAAAAGTAGAYCGGTTTTCATAAACCCTTGAAATACACTTGGAATTTTTTTTTAGTCTAGTTTTTGCGGGTTTATCACTCGCTTTTTATTAGACTTTRGTTATTGTACTGTCTTTCACTGTGACTAATGGCATTCTTGAACCCATTATTTCAAACTAGGAATTATGTATATTTAGTGACATATCCCATTTTCCAATATCTAGGTTATCATATTATTGTCATTTTTATTCTATATTTGGCTTGATTTCTTGTAAGTGCCGAWTATAGTAATCATTGATAAAACTGTCACGAGGAAACAAAATTACACAAGCGACAGCATCATTGATATTTCTTATGTTATGATGATCTTAAGCTCAGTTTTTTCCGAAATATTTCATTGGTGTGTAAGCTTGTTACTACAAACGAGCACACTGTGGTATCAGAAACAAGAATAAAAACAGGAATTCTGAAAATATATGTGGTAATCCCAGGCAAGAAGGRACAAAACTATTGAATAAAGCCGAGTTGCTTGATCAATTTCTTAGTTTCATTTTTAAATTACTTATAGGGAAGAACTCTTATCAGGCATCATGATGAATTTTATTGTATTTCTAACGCAAAACAAGGTATTTTCAAGATATTTTTATATATTTTCTGCAACACAAATAGAAACAACCCTCATTTCCCGCCAAAAATGAAACCATGCGCGCGCGCGTACAACTTGAGATGAAATGAAGGCAACGCGCACAAACGTTTTTTTTACATGAAAATTCAAGGAACTGGATGTAATTTTATMAATTTACAGTTTTTATATTGATATTGCTCTAGTATTAACTGCACTTTAGATACGACAATAAAAACATCCTGTAATGAATATCATCAGGAACATTTTTCTAGGAGCAAATGACCAATTAATGTCATATATAGTTGTATAGATGATAATTCTTCATTTGAATTCAAGTAAAACGATTTTTAATCCACAAGAAAAGTACTTGAAGATTAGACAAAAAGCAACCGTTTATCGATGTACTAAAATCACCTGYCCTTATGTTAAACCAACTGTCGAAAGTCTCTAAGTAGCTTTAAGTRATGCCACTCTGAACAGCATAAAGGAGTTCGCCGTATTAACCAATACAATGAATAAATAATAAATAAAATGGTTTAACGCTTGATGTGAACTACTTGAATAAATGGTTCGTAATGCACCAGCTAAGACTGATAGTTTTGGAATAATAATTTCATAAGGTAAAACAATGCTATCACTATGATAACGATAATTTATGATTAGTGATATTAATGATATTGATATTCAAGATAACACTAGTAATCACWGTCAGTTAACGCCGTGTGGAAGTTTCTTTATATCACTGAAAAACTTAACCTTTTATTGTATTGCAAGCAAACTGAAAGTGTTATGAGTAATAAGGAGGCTCATCGGCTACTCGTGAAATCCTTGAAAAGCCCTGGAATTGAAAACTCCTTTACAAGAGCACTTGAAAAACTCTTGAAAATAGGTAAACACCCCAAAACTCCGCCTTGAATTATCCTTCAGAATCTGATGCAGTCTACATATTGTCTTGAACATTTCATTGAAATAAGTTAGATTGTTAAACATTTGTGCCGGAAACGTCCAAGAAAATCAAGCGAGAACTAAAAAATAGTATTGAAAATTGACTTTTTGCATTGGTCTTAACAAGTATCTGAAAATTAAAGTCCTGGAATTTATGTGACAATAATGAATAAAAGTCAATATTGTGTAGGTATTACAGATTGATCAAGACTAAATATTGATAATAACAATAATAGGAGCTTACTTTACACAATGAATGGCGGAAATGACAAATCAATCGTGTTTTACAATCAAGTAATCAAAACCAATATTTATCATAAATATTATAGCAACAGTACTGATACAAATAATTATAGTATGGTCGAACAAATATATTTGTTATTACAAAGAAGCTACATTTCAATTGAATTTTTTTACATTCATGTTTAGAAAAAGAATGTCAAGGTTGGACTAGCGGGATCCCTGTGTTATACCAAGGAAGTGGTCAGTAACATCTGCCTTTCGTTACCACTACAACGCATGCGCACTAATTAACTCAAAATGCGAGCGTCAAATGATTAGCGCGGGGGTTATAAAGGCGTGAGATGTGTGGGGTAATACAAAGCGGCTTCAATAAGTTAGAGACAGGTCGTCAACCGAACAGCAATGAGCCAAGGTTAGTAAAGCAAACTGCTTGACAGTAATTGTAAGCTTTTACAAAGTGTGTATTCTGAATAATGATCATACAGTATGTTAAAAAACATTTATCGTTTGACTTGCTCTTTAAATGGGTTCATCTCGGAGGCACGTCTATCTAGAACTAACACGGTGTTTTACAGTGTTAAATATTTAGAGTCCCTATAAATAAGCCGTGCAGATAAGCATAGTTTATTCTCAGGGTTTAATTTCTTAAAATTCTACTCTATCGTTTCTGAGACATGAATTGAAGTTATAAATCTAATATTTACCGAATACCTAAGCTAAGTTGCTTGTTTCTAAAATAAAGTATTTGTTTGAAACAGAGCGCAATKTAAGTTTGATTCGTGGATATGTTTCAGAGTCRCAKTCCTTGTAGACGGAGTTAAAAAGTTCWAAAGATTCTTGGCCAAAGCATGAGCAAAAATGCAAATTTTCCTTCGCAAGCAAACACACAAAAGACATTGATTTTAGCACCTTGGTATTGCTTGCAAAAATGATATCTATGAATATTCTYACATTCTTAATGTTATTTTCTTTAAGTTGAATGTTGCGCAAAGTCGAGAAGGTCGCCAGGACCACATTCCGCGGAATACTTTGACCAGATAACTACCAAACAGAACCTGGAATCGTTGCTGTTTGGTTACTTTACCATGCAAGACAAGCATATCGCTAACGATATTACAGAAGTCAATCCTCAAGGTATACMAGCACGTGTTGTGTATTTAACGGAGTGAGATTTATTTTTATTTAATCCTTTAAGTTTGTTTACAACTTCTTCAAGGTTTGTTTTCTGTWTGAGTTTGGTCAACTATTGTTAGATGTTAAAAGTARGAATYTTSTAGTTCCTWTTGTCCTKTATGTAGTAATTACAACTGGCGTATGCATGACTAACAGTGTACAATGGTGAGCAAACTTGGAAGCAAAGCTACGCCATTGTGTGATRGAGGCACTAACGAACTCTTAAGAAAATGATTTGAACAGTTTTTCACGCGAAGTTCTGGTCTCTTGGGAGATATTTCAAAGATTAAGACACAAGCATTCCTATCTAATARGCTATGTTGTTTAGAGATGTAAATTGCTCTCGCTACCTACGCTATGGTCTTGAATAGTTTATCTTTGCGCGAAAACGCAGAGCAAAGAAAATGGAAAATAAAAAGCAAAACTTTGACTGTTTTTTAAGAAATATGCGACGTTTTTATTTTGAAAATAATGAAAACTTGCTTGGTGTGTCTAGGTCATGTTTTTACAGTTAATTAAAGGAGTAGGTAGAGCATTACTAATAAATTTAAGTGACCATTGTCCATTGCCTGAACTTGAAATGTAATTAAGACGGACGCTTCCAGCAACTTTATTCCCACTGACATCATAAAGTAATGGCCGAAACCGGCTGAAAAGCTGATTTATTTAKTGGTATTACTCGCAGAAAGAGATTACTAAGGCGCTAAAAGGAAAAAATAAGCTGTTTTGAGAAAAATATTTCGAGCGACACCCATTTTCACAAGGTTTCGTAAGCGCGAAGTATAATCTTCCGTGTACACACTTAGCACTTAAGCTAAAACAGAATGAATCTAAAAATCTACTGCACTAAACGCGACTTAATTCTTTTACAATGGGAAATGTAGTTTGGATCTTTTACCACAGAAAAGCCTGCATTATTGAATGAATAAGCTGCGGTTTGTATGAGTTAATTTGGACTTGAAAAAAAATATTAAAGTTTTGTCTTTTAATTGTTTGTGTTCTCGAGACGAGCGAAGTGTTTCGTTTACATAGCACATTTTAAAGGAAGATCATGATACTCTTAGCTGAACAAACTCGAGKGTTTTATAATATGTATAGACTGCGTTGAATCAATTAAATGCAACTTTTGTACTCGAAGATATCGCTAAATTATCGACCGAAAACATCCCAAATTCCCCAAAATGTAAGTTCTGTATTGRGCTTAATGAATATAAATCACCCCCCTCTAGGCCAGGCAAAGGGAATAGAAAATTGAGCGCTTTTGCTAACAAAGTGCAACCTTCCAACTAAACCGAAATTACTTATTCAAAAGTTCTTGATTGTTCTGTAYCTAATGAAGAGTTTCTCAACCAACAGAAAGCAATCAATGATTAGTAATATTGCAAGAGTTTTCTAAGGAATAGATAGATTCCTGAATAAAGTAACCATTATAAACCCATATATAGAGATAAGCGGCGAGGACTATAGTTAGATCAAGTGTAGATCATTGTAACGAGAGAATAGAAGCCTGTGATCATCACAGGGGTCTTGGATAAAAGCTTTAACTGTTATTGCTTAATAGACCTAAAAAGCTATTACGACAAACCGACTTGGACATGAAGCTGTGAACCTTAATGTCAGGATAAAAACAGCCTTGTAAACCATCATAATGAAAAGAACTTGTAAAAATGCGCACCGCTTTTAATAAAGATCGYMATTTAATGGGTGTTTTAGACTCACAGTAATTATTTCGGGAAGTTCGCAATAAAAAAGTTCAATTCTGACACTAAGGGTGCGACTCGAAAGATCTGCTTTATAATCCCGCAAGAATAATGGATGATTCGAACTTCTTCGATCGTGGAGTCCAAAAACGCGCACTTTTCCAAAAAAAGCATACCATGAATACCATGAGATAATGCTATGAAGAATCACGAAGTKTAAAGGCCTTTCATTGAAATCGATACGTGTGAAATTCGGAGTATGAGCCAGGCCTACAAAAACAARCCTAAGGGGGCCAACCTAGCTTGCATGTTTACAATGTATACCTCAAGAGGTTTCAAGTAAGCATGTTGTGAACAAGACAAAACATGAGTTAACTCCAATGTACATGTACATGGTTTGTCATATATCGTATTCTTTGTGATATTTAGAAATGTTGGATACTGAATATAATTCTCGTACATATCAACTTAGAGCTCGACACACTGTGCGCTGGATAATTACAATCAGAATAGTTTAAATAAACGGGTTCCTTCCTGCCTCTCAAACTTTCCAGAAACGTATTTTATTGTTGTTATTCAGTAAAGGTATTCACACAAGTTAAGTAGATTCGAAAAAAAGCGAAGGATACCRCTKTCTGGCGGCTGAAATTCTCTATGGAAAATCAGCCAGCGTAGGCTTAACTCTTTGCTCGTATTGCTCATTAAAAGATTTATTTATATCACTGAATTGTTTATTCTGAGTTAATAGAAAAAATATATATTTATGTATTCATACACATAGCACCAATTGTAATGCCCTGGATGAGATTTCTAATGTATTTGATAAAATGTTCAGTGTTCATCGGAACTTCCTGAAACAAAAGTGAATTTATTGTAGGGAAATTGTTTGCTCCATGTTTTTGACACAAAGATCTATGAATAGGCAACGCCTTGACAGCGTCAGATCAACTTCTTGCATTTTTAGATCCAATTTTCTYCAATTTAGTGTCCAAACATTTTAGCCATTACATTCAATTAGTGCTTGACTATTAAGGAATACTACCACTAATCAAGTCTAACATTGCACATAAATACAATTCGTTATAGACCTGCTGTTCTAACTACTTACCGTCACTGGCAGTAATACTATTTATTAAAAGCCTTATTCATTTAATATCAAGTCTTTAAGGCCGACTATACATTACACTTATTAGTCAAAGTGCGCGGTTTTGATCTCATTCTGSGTTGTTTCGCGTGATGTGTGAACATAATTCAAACGATTAAGTTGCTTCTTAATGTAAATGATTTTTGTTTTTTGAAAAAAATGAGAGTWTAGTCAGGTACAATGTGTTTTTAGTTGTTTCCCGCTTGCGAAATCTGATAATTCTTTACAGTAACTTTGCTTCATGTGATTTTGACATTAGAGTGATTTGCCTTCCAACCGTAAAGATAAGGACTGGCTCGTTTAGTCTACTATGGTGTTCGGAAAATCACTCTATCCAACAATCCGCTAGAAAGTCGTTTTTTACATGACAAACGGCTTGTTCTAGTGCCTACATTCATAGCCGGCTTGTTATAAGTTGTGTTATTTCGCTGGTTAATAAATTTTTCATTGTCAAGTTCGTATATCATTCACGTATAGAGTTCCATGTTGCCGTAAGGTGAACTGGTCAGTCCGTTTTAAGGAGACTCATTTGCCGCTTTGTTAACAAGCATCTCTCGGGCTMAAATCATGTTTATCGACAGCATTAGGTAGCACTGTTCGTGATCGCGCAAAATAGTCATGTTGTGTGGCGACCATGGTGTAGAGCTGTGGGTTCCGTAGATATTGGGCGCTAGCTTGTCTGAAAAACTAGCGTTATGTCCATGTTCTCTATTTTGTATAAATGTGAACTTTAAGTATCTTTTTATGAAAATTTATTGTGATAATCACGACCAAGGTTTCATTATGCTCGTTGTAAAGACGACTTCTGTGGGCCRGCATGTCTGTAGGGCAATGATTAATAATGAACAACCTTATAGTTAAAGATGTGACCAAAGTCTTCTTTAGATTAGRATATCTTGTGAGTTAAGATAGGTATCTACAAAGGTCCTTTGGTAAACTTTTGCTAGTCTCCTCTTTATACAAGATCACGCGGCTAGTGACTACTCAAACCCGAGATAAAAATCATTTGTTTTTAGTGTAAATTGTATTGTGTTATTTTGTTGTTTGTTGTCAGTTCTGTTTGATTTTGCTGAACAGTCCATAGCTGCATACTATGATTTTTGTTTTGAAAAAAAAAAGATTTTTGTTTTGTTTCCTGCCTTCGCAGGAAACCGAAACGAAACGAAACTATTACCTAAGGCTTGATTGCATGGTAAATCGACTAACGAACGCGCAAGAATATAAGTAATACTTATTGTTTTCTTGATATTTTTAATTAACGTTTGAAACATTTGATAAATTTTGACGACAATTTGCATGATTTTTTTGCTTCCAATTGCCTCGTTTTATTATCTAGTGCTTTGTATCAAAAGTAAAATCAGTGAACCTGAAGAAATTATAATTTAAAAGTAATGAGAAAAAATATCTCACTTTATTTGTACAAAGGAAGACAAATATGTTTAAAATTATGCGATAAAACATTGGATATAAGTTCAGATAAATGTCAGTTTTAAACTCACTCAATTAGGGAATTTCTTCTTTAAGTCATACCAATTTTAAGGGGATTTCTCATCCAATTTTCTATAAATTGAAAACTATATGTTGCATCGACATAACTTGCATTTAGACGTCGTTGGAAATCAGACATGTCCTGGTAGACTCCCAATGAACTGGGTAATTATACCCTTTTGTCATAAGAGTCAAAAAACGTGAGTTTTTTATCTTTAATCTTTTAGTTATGTTTCTCTAATCTTTGTTTTGAGGAGGAGAAATGCTTTTGATAGTATTTTAATATCTAACAACAACTCTGGCGCCACAAGCTAGGCTAACACGACACTGTACGCACGTGTGTAACACACATGCAGGTGACTTGTATCAATGGCTGCCACACTTCACACTCCATCGCTCTACTCTATCTAAAACACAAGTGTAAAACACTTAAAAACCTATGAAATAATTATTTAAAGCGCGAAGGAATATTTAAATGTAATATCAGTCTATTGGACATTTGAACAATCCATTCACTTCACAATGAAAGCAGATTTTTGACAAAACTAAGAATACAAAGAAATATTTAAATAAAGTCATTAAAATATTTAGAACATGGTTTTGTACAATTGATAAAAACGCTAATTCCAAAATAAGCTTAGGGCATCAAGATAAACCATTGAAGTGTGAAGAATAGCGAAGTAGAAATGTCCGCAAAAAAAAAACATAAAAACAAAAAAAAAAACAGTATTTCGGTAAACAAATGGATGCGCAAACCGAATCAAATGGAATAATGTTTCGATTGAAATATTTGAAATTTCTATTGGATCAAATGTTACAAAGAAAACCATCAAAGTCCAAAGAATCAATGTGTTCAACAATGAAAAAATGTAGATATTTATRGCACGAAGCCAATCAAAAACACGGTACAAAAACCCAATTTAGCGCTTTTTTTAAAAACAAACTCCGATTGGAATGTCGTCTGAAGATTCTATAGTATTCATATTATAGATTTGCAATTTGCTTATTAAAATAATCAAATCTTTTCATGAGATTATAATCCCTTCTTTAACCTATAGTTATTTGAAGTGTTTTCAAGTGTTTTTTTGTTCTCTGAAGAAGTCAAACAATGAAAAAACTTTTAGTGAAAAGAGMTAATCATCGGAAGGAGAATTCCATAATCCAAAGCAACAAGGTTCGCACGTGTTCACTTTCTAAAGCATTTCATAAATTCCATAATAGTGGATAGAGTTTRTTTTATGGAAGATAGCGTTCCTCGCTCGTAGTTGTTGCTTTTGACTTTGATTTTTTTCTTTCAAAAGAAGAAAATGGAATTTTTTTTAGTGTACAAAATTTGACGCAATGCAGCTGCAGGGCACGGTGGCTTTGAGAAAGTTAGAACAAACGCCAGGAATAGTGAAATAATTTATCCTATTAGGGAAGTGGGCAAATGGTATCAAAMTTGATTGAAACTTATGATGTTGTAGATCGCGACTCCTGTCGATCTTTTGTTTTATTCAATTCGACAACTTCAAATTTCAATTGAATTATAATGAAAATTACTTCAAGAATTTAATTGGCCTAATARRCAGTTGSCYATTAGTCTTTAAGAGAAAATTAGAAAGAAACACAGTCTTAAAGAGAGTCTTGCCTGGTGTAAAGGAATGATTCACAGCTCTGCAAGCTGACAAAATATACYGYGAAAATCAGTACTTGTARAAGCCAAACTGTAAGTTCTAATCTTAATAAGTTACCTTTAGGAYATTTCTACCACATGACTCGTGCACAATCTAGTTTCTATGAATTGATCGATCGTTTTATCTTATTTTTGTTTTCTTTTAAGCATGAGTTTTAACCAGAAGAATTCTTTTTTACTCTTAATGTATTGTTAGTCCTCTAAAGGTCGTTTTTTTTTTAGCTGTATAGTATGGCTACCAGTATTTACCTATAGTCAAGTTGATATTTACGTTCATGAATGGAAAACAGCCGCTATGATTTGTTTGTGAGAAGTCTTTAATCTCTTTGTGATCGGCATTGTGAAGARTAAATACATGATAAATGATGCTAACTATCACAGAAACTAGGGACAGTACTTCATGTAAAACTCCTTGATTTGGCACTTACTAATATCTACATTACTGTATTAGGGCTAGATTTAGGTTTCCATGGGTTCTTGCATGAAGTACTAACCGAATCTRGTGTGTTTCTTTTTGCGCATTTTCATAATCCCCCATAATTCCTCTCTATCGCCAGCCTTAGGTGAATCAACTTTGATAGAATTAAGTCTTACAATGACTGTCTTTTTTTTGTCAGACAACATGCCTTCTCCCAGTTCAAGCAAAGATTTCGTGTTCTCCAAATTCAGCAATGGTCAAATATGCGAACAGATGGACCTTCCATGCTCACTACCCGAAGGATTTCGATTAATTAGTGTTGCTATGGGAACGGGAAGCCACTATGCTGTCATCAGTTGCAAGAAGGTGCTAGTCAAGGGGACTAAACTGGGTCCGTATACTGGCAGTCACGTGACAATCGAGGACTTGTGTGAAGGACAAGACAATCCTCATCTKTGGGAGGTAAGAGAACTATCCCAGTAAACCTTACTATGACCCCCAAGGGTTACTGACACCACCCTCCTCGGGATGCTGACATGTTGGCTGATTGATTAAAGAAAATGATTGATGCGCAACGAAGGGTTCCGACGAAGACACTATAGGCACAAACAAAAAAAGAAAAAGGAGAAAAAAATGCACATTTAGGGACCAGAAATGATAAAGAAGATACAATAAATTAAAAGAATTTTTATTTTTTATTTTATACTTGTAATGTGTTATACTATAATTGCTACGCTTATGTTAGACGTCGTATATTGCACGATTGGCTTCATTCCTTTGTCTTTTCTTTGCTACTATGCTAATGGTCGATATCACACGACTGACTATGTGTCTTTGTCAACCGGGCTTATGTTCTTTGTTTAATCTGTCAGGTTTTTAAAGACAGTAAACTGATGTTTTATATCACACTGTATGTTCTTTGTTTAATCTGTCAGGTTTTTAAAGACAGTAAACTGAGTCATTACATCAATGGCAGGACTGATTCCAACAACTGGATAAAGTTGATTAATTGCGCTCGTCAAACCTCAGAGCAAAACCTTGCACTAGTTCAAGAAGACGATCACCTCTACTACGAGGCATGTAGAGACATCTACTGTGGGGAGGAACTGTTAGTTTGGTATGGAAAGTCGTACGAGATGTACATGGGAATACCGATAGGAATGATGGGAAATAGTAAACCATTCGACTGTAAGGACGTCACGCAAGGTACAACATCTTATATTCATGTCATTGTCTATTATGTGTTCATTAATTCCCAATTTAATCTTTACAAACTGTGAATATGACAACGTTTAGCATTCAGACAAGATGCTTGCTAATATACCCATACTCCACTTCGGTCACGTTAAGACTGAGCAGCACTCATAAAAAGACTGTGTATGAAATACGTCAATCATATTCCAGACATAAGCTTTAGTGCTGTTTTTGTTGATTTACAGGGTCTACAGGCAACTATACATGTGACAGATGTAACAAAGTATTTGCCTACAAATACTACCGTGACAGACACCTTAAATACACGCGATGCGTTGACCAAGGCAACAGACGGTTTCCATGCTCRTTGTGTGACAGATCGTTTGAYAAGCGTGACAGATTACGTATACACATTCTCCATGTCCACGAGAAGCATCGTCCTCATCARTGCACCGTGTGTGACAAACGCTTCTCACAGTCATCAAGTCTTAACAAACATATGAGAGTTCACAGTGGAGAAAGACCGTATAACTGCCCTCACTGTGAGAAATCCTTCACCGCTTCATCAATCCTGCGCACGCATATCAGGCAACACAGCGGTGAAAAGCCATTCAAGTGTAAGCATTGCGGGCGCGCATTTGCATCACATGCAGCACATGATAGTCACGTGAGACGYACACAYACCAAAGAGAAACCATGTGTCTGTGAATACTGTGGAAARGCCTTCGCACAGTCCTATGAATTAAAGTTCCATATCAACATGCATACAGGAGCTAAGCCCTATACTTGTGAGAAGTGTGGTCGRGGATTCTCAAGTCCTTCGTCACGAGATCGGCACCGAGCAAACTTCGACTGCACTACGAGGAAAAACCGAGCACCGAAGGTTATGCGAAAGAGCAATCAGCTCATAGGACAGATTTCAAACAATGTACTGAAGTTGCAAAATGCATGATGGGAATGCRACTTGTGCAGTCACGTGATGTGACGTTTGTTACGTGATTGGTCAACAGACATGAAAAAAAAAAATAGAATTTACTAGATACAATTATTCCTAATCGTTCAAATAATAAGCAATAGAAATACGCAAGATATAATTCGTATTTTCATATATTTTTGTGACAATGTTTATTTATTCAATTATTTATGTTTTCCATATCGCAAAGCGATCTTCATTTGATTGCTTAAAATAATATAATATATAATTAAACGAACACGATACATTTTTTCAAATGTAACTGCATGTATATAATGAATTGTAGTGAACGACACGAAATAAATTATATTTGTTAAAAGAGTGTATTCTCTAGCCTTTCACTCTAGCATCCATSGCGGGCACACAAGTACCTCTTGAATAAACGCTTTCAGCTATCTCCTTTACGCTGTGTTAGCCTSAAAACCATGTAATAAATCATTTTATTTACTAACAGTCCGTGCAAATGCAAGAGACGCGTGAGTATAGAAGACAATGGAAATAGTTTGAAATTTCACGAGTTTTATCTACATTTCTGAATACTTTGCCCACAATTGATTATGAGGATAACACAGCTTAAAAGAGATCGCGACTGCTATTGAGCAGGTTTCGTATTCACTTCGTATGATAGCGAAAAGACACGAATAACGATGATCACGAGACCTCGTCTGGTATTCACATGAAATGAAAATACGGTCTCGGTACGAAAGCGCGGCTTTATCACTCTATATTATAGACATTGTTACTTTCACTATGAAGTCACAAAACGCTGAGGATCAATATTACAGAATTAAAACAATGAATGAATTCGGTAAAACTGCATTATTTGTAACCAGTGTGTGCCAAACTAGGCGTTTCGAAAAAAGAAAATATTCTTCACTTGGGTTACCTGTGCTTCTTTGACCGATGAGGTTCCAGGGCATGGGTATATTACCTACAATTCATTGCAAACCAAGAAGAGTTGGCGGCCATGTTGAATTGATAACAGTGTTATGTAAGTTCGGCAAATTGCGAGGTCAAAATAATTTAAACTCTTGATAGATTGTACTAAAAACACATCAGAACCATGGCACGGCCTTTGCTAAAGATGCAGGCTTCACGTGTTTGGGGTAAGTRCAGTAGAGTTGATTTTACGAGAATTTATTTTGATGTGTTGTGTAATGTTGGTCAACGCAATTGCTGGTAATGTATGTTATTTTGATGTTYTTTTCTGTTTAAGTACTGAATTCATATATTCCATCATGTTTTATCTTGAATTGATGTAGTATTTGGCGTTTAGGTATAAGCTTAATAACTATTTTTAATTCCTTCAGGCTGTAGACTGAGACAGGTAGTGTCATGTTCACGACTATCTTCAACAGAAGCTTCATCAGAGGTACATATGACAGTCTATTTCCTGGAAATGGTGCTTTATTACCATGCATCTGCTTATTTGTAAAAATTAAACTTCAAAAATAAATGCAGCAACATACACAGCAACGGCAGCAACAACAACAACAAACATGAACCTGCCTTACTGGAGCATACAATGTGTATAATACCATGATTACCTCGGATTCTTTTGTCTTCCGAGGGATGTTTACAAGCGAACATCCCTCCCTCATGAATGGGATGAGGGACGATTACTAGTAATCGTCCCTCATGCATAATAACAT